TCTCTCTCTCTCTCTCTCTCTCTCTCTCTCTCTCTCTCTCTCTCTCTCTCTCTCTCTCTCTCTCTCTGTGTGTCTGTCTGTCTGTCTCTGTCTCTGTGGTGAGGACGTGTTCTGGGGGACAAGGAGGAATAGGGGTGATTGGTGCCATTTGGGGTTTGCTTGGGATGTAGTGGTGGAGGGGTGGGATGGCCAAAACTGTATTTGTTTTTTTGGATGCTGCTGTTTGGGGTTTGCTCGGGATGTAGTAGTGGAGGGGCGGGATGGCCAAAAACTGTTTTCCGTTTTTTCTTTTTTAACTAAGCTATGTTCTTCTCTCAATATACCTCCCACTACCCACCTATCTATGCCAGGAACAACCAGAGCCAAGGGGAGGAACAAACTGTGAGGTGGCCTACGCCTATGTACTCTGTGCAGGGTTTGTTTTCTTTGAATAAGAATAATTTGAATAAAATTCAATAAATCAAATATTAATGTTTCAAGTATGTTAACTCCACTTGGAGTTTGTTCATGCAGCGTGCTTTCTAGCATAACCGTTGACGTATTATGAATGCGCCGTTAATTTGTGATACAAAGTTGTAAAACTAGATAAATCGATTTCTTAAGCGGTTGGCAATGTAGGATGGTTCTCTCCTGACCGGTCTGCTCAGATGTTCCTGTAACCTCCTTTGTTCTTGCAGTTTGCCTCCTGTTCTCCCTTTCTCTTTCTCTTTGTGCCTGTGTGCAGGAGGGTCTTCATCTTCTTGTGTTTTTACATCTCCCGTGGAAGGCATTCTCTCAAGTTTGTTTGTTGGATTTGGAGAAGAGAATAGTTACAAGTTAAAAAAACCAGAAAGGTAAATCTTTCTTACTTCGTGCAAAGTTGCAAAGGCAGTAATGTTGAGATCATGGCTGAGCCAACCAAAAATTAAGCCGGTGGGTGCTCTTGCGGTACCTTTTTTTTTGCATGTGTAGTTCACCGACGATGATTGTCGAACTCATCTGCGGTCTGTCCTTTCGGAGTTACGGCCTGTGGAGGTCATCAAGCCACTTGGAGCGTTGTCCGAGGAGACAGAGCGTGCTGTACGGGAGAGCACACGGCAGCCACTTGTCAACGCCCTCATGCCGGAGACAGAATTTTGGAGCGCAGAACGGACGTTGAAAGAGTTGTCGACATGTTATGGTCCATTGCAACTTGAAAATGGGCAGCTGAATGGCGATCCTGACAGAGGGGAGGGGGGAAGGAATGACATGGATGACACGTCGTCAGGTTCTAATAACTGGCCTTTAATCCTCCGTCACCTTGCATCAGGACGACCGAGAGGTGAAATGGCACTTTCTGCACTAGGTGGATGTCTGTTCTACTTACGTCAGGCATTGCTGGATCGCGATCTGCTTGCAATGAAGTATGTGAGAGCTCTGCCGGGATCAGATATGTGCTGGAAACAAGGGAGTTCTGAAGACGGAAATGAAACCGAAGAAAGGCCAGCAACGAGTTCGGCGAAGGAAAAGGGGTTGCAAAGGGATGACAGAATGGAAGTCGATGGCGAAGATGGGACGGCATCCGCGAGTTTGGAAAGGAGGGAACAAGAAGAGGATGAGGAGGAACCTTACATGGTTCTTGACAGTGCGGCACTTGAGAATCTAGAGATTCTGGAGAACAACAGGGATGGTGGAACTGCTGGGTAAGAAAACTTCAGCTTTACCTCTATATCCTGGTGCATATGCATGTCGACTGATGGTCAATTGATGACTCATACCATGGGCAGGTGTAACAAAGGCGACAAATGTGATTGGCTGGTTCAGCTGGCGAAGGGAGTGGTGGTTAATGGAGACCCAAAGTTTCTGCGTTTTTTTAATGCTATTTATAAGAAAACCCGAAGGCCTTTTTAACCATAAATTGCATCATTCCATAAGTGCACACCATATTAGCAAACCACCTAGGCTACCCGAGTGGCGCGGGACCACTTGCCCGGCCTGGCCACCCAGAAAAAAAAAAAAAGTTTGAACTTTAAATTTGGTAAAGAATTTCGATGTGACCCTGAGGCAAAAGTTGTTCAGTTTATTTTTCTGCGTAACATGGTCCGACATGCCGCTGCCCAAGGTCAACACAAGCAGCTATGCCGCTGCCCATTCAGCCGCCATGCCTGACTCTGTCCCGAGCTTCCTTGATGCGGCACTACCCCAACTGCGGCCTTCCAGATGGAGCGCCTAACAAGGTGATGAAGATGGTGTCCACCCTAGCCAGGTAGGTACCTCGCCACTCTCCTCCTTGGTCCTCTTCTCCCTCCTCCTCCTACCGGTAGAGCTCCACCATAGCCAAGGTGGAAGCTCCCGGCTTCTTCCTCCCAGCAGCACTGTAATAGTCAGCGCTCCTCCAACCAGCGCTCCAGCAGCGTGTCGCCAAACTTGCACACTCAAGAATGAGCCCGGGCTCTTCCCTCGGCCTCTTGATATAGCGGCCTACTTGTCTCCTGGGCGTTGACTTCCAGACCGCTCGGCCTCCCAAGCAACCGGTATCTCCTCCCTTTCGGAGGGAAACATCATTGCAGACTCTGATATTGCCCGTACAGGCTCTAGACTCAGACTGGATGGACTGGTACCGGCCTAGACCTAGCCTACCGCTACTAGGCCTCTAAAAATGCCAACTTTGTCATCTTCTGCTCGGTCTAGAGTACCCGGCACATCTACTGCTACTGGGTGTGGTACCGGCCTACCTGCTACTTGAGTGTTTTTCCCGCTGCTCTAAGTGCCGCGGGCCACATGCGTGTTTTCCCCTGCTGCAACCCTCAATGCCACGGCCACAGGTAAGTACCGGCCCTACGGGCCTCCCAACAAGCAAGTACCCTTGCGGGTCACACACACACTCTTGCCGACAAGCGCTCAGACAGGCATGCAGGTCATCAAGCACACTCACACACAGACTTAGAAAACTCAGTAGAATGCGGGAATCTCAGCAAGGCATCCATTCGATCGGCAGAACTCAGAAATCAGCAGTGTTCTCAGTCCGTGTTATGGCGGGTCATTATAATTCAGAGAATTTTCAGAATTTTTAGCGTTTTTTGGAAATTGCCACAGGCAATTCCAATGGACAAAAACACTTGAGAACATTGAGAAATGATCATCAGACACGATTTCAACTGTCAAAAAAATAAAATCAAAGTGAAAATTTTGCCAAAGAACCCTGATTTCGGCAATGAAAACAGTTACCCTGTTAACCACTGGTGGGCGCATGCTCGACTTGTGCCATGTTCATGCTTAGAACGCATGGACCTGATTGGAAGAATGGCCAGGTGTGCTCTGTCTTAGAATGAACATAGCACGACTGGGGTCCAACCGTTTCTGGAAATGGCTCCTGTATGCTTTTGTGAGGCTCCCTCTTCTTGGCAGATACCCCGGGACAGAGCTGAGGTTCCCCTTTGTAGCTGTCTCCACAAGTCCATGGATGTGCACAGTGAGCAGCCACTCCACTGAAGGGTTGTGGTTGTAACTGCGGAATTCATTTGATGGGGCTTCTTTTTTTAATGGCGAAAGATGGAGCAACTGACCTTCTGCATACAAATAGCTTTGAAAGAATCAACACCCGTTCGGTGCAGTATCTGCAAGAAGTTGCCGTTATTTGGTTTCGTGCTTGTGTGCACAATCCTCGTGACTGGCAGCATATTCCCTCATTTACCGCATATGTGCCTTCTTTTCTGAATTTGTAGTTGGCAGGATTATCTTTCTTTTCTCGACAATGAAAAATGTAAAGAACAAATGATATCCTCTTTTTTTTTCTTTTTCCGAGGAACAGGGCTCAGGTTACTACCCGGGGAGGTGTGAGCACCTCCTGTTAGTCCTAGTTGGCGACTTTTCTTTTCCATTTGCAAATGGTTAACTAGCTAATTGCAAAGCTAACTTGTTATGGCCACTCTGAGGGAGTGTGTGTGTGTGTGTGTGTGTGTGTGTGTGTGTGTGTGTGTGTGTGTGTGTGTGTGTGTGTGTGTG